AACATAACCATTCTAAAATGTTTATCAGTGGTTTTGTATGGGTGAGGGAAAGGCATCAAGAATGCTTTGTATTCCCTAATGTATATTTTTCTATATTTTTGTACTAGATCATGTTATTTTTGCAGCCAGAAAAGTTGTTTATTCAACAAGTGATGTTTATGATACATGAGATCTGTTTGAATATCCTTAAGGAATCACCTTTACATTGATTATGCACATGGTCTAGAAAGTTACTTAAAATTCTTATTTAGTATCAGTAAATACTTGAATTTTCTCTGATTCAGAGACAAAGCACATACTATTGGCAAAACCATATGTGAACGTCTGAAGGATTCTCTTCCTAGGCAGCTGTTTGAGATAGCAATTCAAGCTGCTATCGGAAGTAAAATCATTGCAAGAGAAACGTGAGTTGAAATCCCTTACATTTTCTGGTTTTTAGAAATGATATACCTAGAAAATGAAATATTGAAAAATTTAACATTGACCAAAGCCAGTGATTTTTCAATCAGTGTGCCGTCTAGTGTGAATGAATCAAAATTATACCTATTTTTCTTGTCAGATCAGCAAAAAATGTATTTTTTGGTGTGCTGCAGAATTTTAGTAATTAGCGTATGTGTGCCATGAGATGAAAAAGGTTGAAAATTGCTAGTGTAAGCTTTATTACTACTTGTAGAAACATTAATCTGTGTCTTAATTACATTAATTTAAGTGATGACTGTTACTTTTAATTACGTATTTTCAGACTATAAGACATACCCCTGCCCCCCCATTTGGGAGGAATAATGGTTGTTAATGCTGCTGTTGAGTTCTGTTTATGTTTACATTGGCGAATTATTACGTTATTTATGTTATTAAATATTTTACCACATTTTTTGCTGCAAATTTTTTTCCTATTTTCCTCTAGAACCTAGGTGTGTCTTATGGTCTGAAAATATGGTACTTATATGACACTTTTGGGTAATATTACTTATACTTATTAGTAGAATGTGTATGAGTTTGAGAAATTGCTTTATTTCTACTCACTTTACCAAATGACTATTGAATTTCCTAGGTAAGAAATTTCTGTAAAGTTTTTATGGTTTTATCCCTTCGGGTAGATGATAAGCTAATAGGAACTGAAACTGAAAAGGTTTTACAGACATTCCTCAAAAAGACAAAAATCAAGATACAATTTTTACTTGAAACACTCCTCAGAGCTAGTCAGGTTGTGATCAGAAAGGTGAGAGAGGAAGCTAATTTCATGTTAAGTTTTTGCCTTCTAGAACACAGACTTCACGAGTGACACAGGAGACATGGGGGCAGGGGCGGGTTGTGGTGCACACGGCGCACAACTCAGGGCGCTGAAGGAGCTGCTCTGCTGCTCACGGCAAGTGCGGGAGGTATCCTGGAGCAGCTCCTCTTTTTTGCTGGATGGTCTATCATTTTTATATAATCTTGGAATAAATTTTATGCCAACATTTGCAGTGAGTTCAATTTTCCAACACCATTTTGCTTTAGAGGCAGTCGTTTTATGTTCCTGAGCACCTGGACATGAGGCAGAGGGAAGCTGATAAACTGGGAACCTCCTGGAAGGTGCAATTTAGAATAGTCAGCAAACATTAAGTATGCTGGGGTAGACAATAAAGAAAAATTAGATTTTTATATCTTTTGGAATACATAAAAATGGAGCTATTTTCAAATTTCTCATCCTCCAAAATTCTCAGCAACATTATAGGAATAAAACTAGATTTAGTTTATAAGTGCTTGGATGGATATATTAAAATTTAGTTTACCCTCAAGTGGGTTTATGAAACTAATACATTTTATATCCCTAATCATTCTTGTCCCACATTCAGTGGAGTTTTGAAAGTAGTAGTTACACTTTTAGGCTGAGCCAGCATCAACCTGATACAGTTCTTGTAATCGAGGTCATACCATGCTTGAATTTGGCCTCAGCTTTACCCACAAGCTTGACCTTTTTTATTCTTAGTAAAATATATGTTGGTACTCATGCTGAATTCTTTTTCTATTTTATTCCAAATACATAAAATATAAGTGTATTCGAGCTACCTAATGATTTGCTTTTGGCAGTTTTGCATAGGTCTGACACTATCATTTGAATCTTTAATAAAGGTGAGACTTTGAAAATAAATTTTTAAACAGTATAATGAAGTTATGCACTGCTAACAAAGTTTTCTCTTTTACAGTGTGAAAGCCTATAGGAAAAATGTTTTGGCAAAATGTGTACGTATTTACCTGATAGATAATAGATCTACTTTATGAGTTTAAAATTAAAGATGTATAAATATATTGGTTTCCATTGTTCATTTTTATAATACCTTTTATTTCATCTCCAAGTTTTCTTTTTAAATTGGTAAATTTCAGCTTGACTATAATAGCATATTCATTTTGATATTCATTTTGAAAAAAATTTTCTTAAATTTTTTTCATCTTATTTATAAAAATGTTCTTATATGGAATACGAAGTACAGAGTCTAGCAGAAGTAGACCTGCTTGGGTGTGGTTGTCAGGGTAACAATATGAGTGCAATAATTTGTAGTTGTAATGTGAACATTTCACCTAAAAAAGGTGTGTTTGAGCGTGGTATCGTTATGTCACAGAATTACCTGCTTATGATTTTGTAAAAGATTTTGTAATAAAAAGGCATTATTTGTGCCAGACTTTGTATTTTAGAACCATTACGAATAGGTAACACATTTGTTGATCTAATTTGTAAGGAAAGATTTTGAAGACAATGACTAAACAGAGAAAAGAATATGGGATTGAAACCCACCTCTCTTGCCTTGGTTTGCCAAGTGTGTTGTCTCATCTATTAAAAAAAAATGTCCCTAGCTCAGTTTTTATGGGGATCAAATGATGCTATTTCTAAATCCTTTGCATAGTGACTGACACAATTACACCTATGCAAGTTTCTGTGTGAGACTACAGCTATATAATCCAAAATTTGGAGTCTTGAATATGTAAGGAGATTGATAATTCTTCTTTGATATGCATAATGTATGCTATTGCATTTCCTTGTGGATCTTTATCTCCATCCAAAAACAAAGCCTTTATCATTCTTGAAGGCAGTAAAAATAGGATCTGCCAGGAAGAGGAATGGAGAGGTATATTTGCAGATGTCTTCCTCATGATTCATGAGTGGTAATTGTAAGGTGGTTCTTTGTAATGATGTCATTGTGTAATTGTAAGATTGTTTTTCTATGGAGTGATTGCACTTCCAATTTTTAAAATATTTTTCAGTATGGTGGTGATATTACCCGAAAAATGAAGCTTTTGAAGAGGCAAGCAGAAGGAAAGAAAAAACTGAGGAAAGTTGGCAATGTTGAAGTTCCAAAAGATGCTTTTATAAAAGTTCTGAAGGCACCCTCTGATAAATAATATGAAAATAAAAAGATTTTTTATGAATTAAAAATGATGTATCTTTTAGTTTTTCTTAGGTAAATCTATAATATGTTGATACAGAATGAACATTATAAAATGTGCTTGTTACTTTCAGCATTTTCAGATACAAATAACCTATTGGGTTTTCTTTGAAAGGCAGTAGTGAGTGGATAAGAGTTTGTACTCTGAAGCCATGTTTCCGGGCTTCAAATTTCTGTTCCACCACTTACTAGCAAGGTAAATTATCTCTCTTAGTCTGTTTATTCCTTAGTAAAATCATGTTTTCCTATTGCTTACCTCCATGAGTTGCTGAATGAGATAATATGGTTAAAAGACTCAGAAGAGTGCATGACACATAGTAAGTGCTCAGTGAACCTCAAGTATTTTGTATGCCTGCAATGCTTTGAATTTGGATACATTCTCTTTAACCTCTGTGAGTTTCACTGGTAGTAATAATGATACAAAACAGTAGTTTTCAAATTTTTAGCATAAGCTTAAGTTCTCTTCCTTGGCCATGCTCTCAGATGATTTTCATGATTTAAAGTTGTAAGCCTTCTAAGTGTGTTCCCCAGAGGACCATATGTTTCTAAGAAATTTGCAAACATTAAAATTACAAACTAGGACATGAATGTTAGAATGGCCCCTGTTTATGGTGATAGCAACTGTGTTGCGCTCTCTATGCCTTCCCTCCCTTAAGCTACGCAGTAGTCAAGGTGCAGGTGCTGCCACAGTCCCATTTCATGGGGGAAGAAACTCGGAGTTGGTACTGTCCAACACGTTTCTGACAGAGCTGGGGTTCAAGCTGGCTTCTTTCTCCAAACCCCAATTCCTAGCTACCATGCTTTATTGCCTCTTGTGAAAATACCTTCAGTGGTTTCTCAGTCTTTTCTTCACTGCAGCTTAGCTCCTAACTTAAGGAGTGTGGCCAGAAAGCCATTTACTGAGGAGGTGGAGTACAGGGACCTAAACTGCAATCCTCACATCAAGGGCAGTGATGCAAGAAGACTGTGTCTCAGCAAACACATTTAAAGCACAGTAATAACTGGTGAGCCGTGCACCCAAACCAGCATCTTCAGCTTTTTCATTATTGTTACTTAACCTTCTAAGGTAGTTAGGGTAGTTTTCAGTAACCAATACTTGATTACCAGGTGTGACTGGAAGATGATACTGATTGACTAGTCATTTAAAAAACATTTATAACACTTAAGGCTATCACAGCTTCATTATCTGGAATTCAAGTGGTATATATATTTTTTACCCTAACAGTTTTATTTTTATTTAACTTTTTATTTCTTTGCTATTTAAGTATTTTAAGGAACTTAACTTTAAATACTTTTCAGTCACAAGTGCAGTTAATTAAGCAGGTATGTAAGTAATGCTTCTACTAGATGGGCTTATAACATACAAAACATACAGAGAAAAAGGGAGGGTTTTTACTCTCAAGGAGCAAGACTAAGAAATTTTAGGCAGAGTCATTGTCTGAACTTAAATCTCCTATTTGCATGATGGCAACAATCGAAGCTATTAAATGTAGGCTCAACATCCACTATTAATTGACGGAATACCTCAAGTGCATATATTCAGTTTCACATCTGGAAATAAAATTTAGATAACTTACATTTGTTTATTATAAGCTTTATTGAAGTTAAAGATAGAAAACAATATACTGTATTTGCAGTTTAATGATTGAAGTTCTTATGACAAAGTAAAATAGTTTACAATAATTATTTTTATATATACTTCATTATATTATCTTTTTAGAGATGTGTGTAAGGAATAAAGGTAATCATTTATGAAGTTCAACAATAATCAGAAAGTTTTCTTCAAAAGAATTTCTTTAAGTGTGTTGCTAGGTATAAAGCTCATAGTTGCCAAAATACTTATATTAAAAGCAAGAACCCAAGTCATTAAATAAAAACAAGAGCACAGTTGTAAAAAAGGCGCACAAAAATCATGCCCTCATTCATACTTTTCAGAAGGGCGCATACATATTTTTAGGCACTGTCATCTCTTCAAATTTTCCGTACCTACAACATACAGCAGGACTTTTGATGTCCAGATACTACTGCTGGGAAATGACTTAAGGCAACCACGTGCAGAAAGCTTGTATAATGCACAGAAAAACAGAGCATTTCAAAAGTACCGGTAAAGGTTTGCAATGATAGTGTGTTTTCATGTGATTAAAAGTATTAATCTAAAAATGCCACTAGAGAAATATGAATGTACTTGATGTAACACTCTTCACCTTTAAAATGACTTTTGAAATTTTTAAACAGATAGACATTTAATTTCTTTGCTGTTTTACAGTGAATATGTGGCTTCCATACCTTAAAATTAACTGCTGATTAATTATGAGAGCCAATTATTCCTAAACCATAGTATAAAATGAACACATTCTAAATATGGAATGTTTAATATATAGATATTGGACTTCAAAAATGAGTCTTCAAAAATTCTCCATGTTTTATCATATTGCATAGCTGCAAATCCATCTATTACAAAAGTGTGCTGTTCATTCGAGTGGAATTTGGCTCCAATTTCTTTCAGTCTCCTCCTTTCATACTGTATAGTGGGTCCACAAGTTTATTGTGCACATGCATTAAACCTTGAAGAAAGAAAGCACAGTTCTATTGTATTTGAAATTTTGAACTGTATCTCATATACTTTAGAAAACAAAAGATGTGTAAGAATAGAGGTTCCCACATGATATAAAATTGTTTATTTTAAAAATGTAAATAGAAATATTTCAGGATATTTAGTTTTAAATACCTAGTATATACCAGTTTTCAATTATTTATGAATCGGTAGTTCCAGAATGTGTACAGGTCCTTTGGGAATAAGCAGGAGTAGGAACAGTTCCTCTCTTCAGAGCTTTGGTAAGACAAAATAAGAGTTTAATATGGACTTGGTTAATACATTTTAATTACACGTGTAAGTGTTTGACGCTCAGTCATTTCCTCTACCATACTCCAATGAAACACTCAGAACTCTCGTTCCACTGGGATAGGCTTGCAGGACATTTAGTCTCATCAAGAACATCCATGGGGATACTTGGTCCACACCAAATGGTCCTTGAAATTTGGCCCTATCAAAAACGTCCATGCTTAGAAACATCCCTGGGTTTAAATAGCCTGTAACATTTACACTTTTGGATTACAGAACTAATACATAAAAAAAAATACTCTCAAGGACCTTTTTTTTGGGCATGGTCCAAGTGTCTTCGTGGATGTCTCAGACAGAACCAAAAATCAAGCACCTTTTGGTGTAGAGCAAATGTCTCCATGGACTTCTTGGACAGGATCAAATGCCCACTAACACTGGGATAGCTTTAGTTCCCCAAAAATCATTGCATCCATCCATCTGGCAAGTGTTTTCCCACTGTTTGGGCATGTATATACAACAGAGATTGATTACAAACCAGAGGGAGGTTTACTAAAACAATACAGAAGAGAACCTACATTAACTCCTGATTTCAGTGTAGATTTAAATTTCTTACAATTGGTATGCTTTAAATTGCTCTTATTAAGCTTCTTGGGAAATATCTTCCAGTTACTAATGTCTTAATACATACATACTATATTTCTTGGAGGGAAACAAAAAGATTGTCCCAATTAATGAACTAAAGATTTCCTATTTTGAGAGTTAAATGAGTTAAATTTTTCAGATTGTCAAGAACAAAGAGGCTGGGGAAATGGACTCATAAAGTCATTTTCTCAGGAAATGGGATGATTGGATTGGGAGACAGCACACTTGGTTAGTAAATATTGTATTATAGGTAGTCCTTGTCAGGAAAGCTGCAGAAATACTCTAAACTGTGAGGAGGACCTATAAGAAATAAGCAAAGATAGGAACATGCAAAGAACACTTAAGTGTTCATGTAGTAGGAGAAAAACCAGAAGAGTCTTAAAAGGAGAGAAAAGAGAAAACTCATTAGATCTGAAAGAGAGAGTGGTAATCGCTCAGCAGCCTACTCTACTGTCTAACTAATCAGCACCTTAAATTTAACAAGGTCTAGACCCATCTGTTCCCTTCCAAACCATTTCTTTGAAAATCATGTTACCCTTCAATGAGTCAAAGTCAGGCAACTACAATCCACTGTTTATTTTCTCTCTTCTCTTTTATAATTCAGCAGCAAGGCCAGTTGGGCACTACAGATGCTCCTTGACTTACATGGGGTTATCTCTCAACAAACTCACAAGTTGACTTGGTAAGTTGAAAATGTGCTTCACACTGCACTGCAGAGTGTGAGCTGTTTACCCTCGTGACCACATGACTGACTGGGCTGCCCACATCACAGTATTTTACTGCACGTTGGTTGCCCAGGACAAGATCGAAATTCAGTGTTCAACTTCTGCTGGGTTTTCACTCTTGCACCCTTACAAAGCTGAAGTGAGGGGCTGTCTGCACTTTCAGAATATATCCCCATTAGCCACAGTGCTTTATCTCCCCACCACCACCCTTGTTGAAGCACCTCTTCACACTAATTACTTCCAGTTGCCTACTTTCGTTCATTTCTTCCATACCGTATTTCTGCCCAGTAGGCAACCTAGTCTTTTTATTTTTTTAAGTTTTTTTATTAAATACTTTTGAATTTTATTGTTGTTCAAGTATAGTTTTCTGCCTTTTCTCCCTACCCCTCCCCACCACTCCAGCCACCTAGTCTTTTTAAAACAGAAACTGGATTGTACCATTTCCCTAATTAAAATTATCCAATTGTTCTGGTCACTTAGAAAGTAATCTCATGTCTTCTCACTTTCTCACCTTTATGCTGAAATCAACCCTAGGTTTGCCGCTGTCACCCCAGAAAAGCTTAGTTCCAGTGCAGGATCTTTATAGTTGCTGTTTGATTCAGCATGGAATGCTCTTCTCCCTGAGCAAAGCATGGCTCGCTCCTTTTTATGTATTAGGTCTCAGCCCACACATCACCTTAAACTATTAATGGCACTTTGCGCTCTTAAAAGCAATTTTCATTCTTAAACAATATTTTCTGCTATGTTTCCAACTAGAAACTAAAGTCCAGGACCTTATATTCACTGCTTTAAGTCCAGGGTTTATAAAGGCCACTGCACATAGTAGCTCAATAACCATTTATTTTTAAAAGTCTGAAGATTTAGTGAGATGGCAATATCTAGTGGCTTTTTTAAATTTAAAAATCAAGCTAGAACATATAATGCTAAAAAGGAGGCAGTATAGAAACAGATAGGAGACAGAGATTCTATAGTTCATGGTCCTGAAGTTAGAACAGGAAAGGTCAAGGGCACTGATGGAATGGCTACACCTTAAGGAAAGGATGGCTAAGCATCAGGGTAAACGTACAATCTTGGAAGGAGGGCTTTGGAGGGACGCACGTTAAGCCTTCCATGCAGCTGGAAGGAAAGAAGAGTCAAAAGAAAGTGAGTAATGGGAAAAGTTTAGAAACTGCAAAACTTGGAGCAACAACTAACCCAGGAAACAAAAGGATTTTGTACCAATTCTAAACTAGGCATAAAAGGCATTTCATTGGTTCAGCCTCCACCTCAGATATATGGCAGCCACTTAACCTATCTGGACTTATTTATAAAATCATCACTCTCAGCTCAAAAATTCAAAACATGTTTGGTTTATGCATGTCTTAAATAGTATAGTATCCAATACTTGAATGTTTCCATAGTGACAGTTCCTATAATGTTATACAACTCTGACCCCAAATGCTTACCTAGTGCTTTGAAGACAAAAAGCCTGTGATAAGAATCCATGAATATGTGGAAAAACCAATGACTATTTCATTCATTAGACTGTTTTATGCAAAGGTATCCCTGAGGCTAGATTTAAAATCACTGCCATCTCAATATGTAAAACTTATTCTCAGGGTTAATAAAACCTCCCCATATCCTTTTGGTGCAATAAAGGCTGCTACAGTTAATTTTACACCCTTATAGGGAAGAAATTAGCTCTTGGATGTTCAGAGGTAAGAGTTCTGAGGGAAGCCAGAACGGAATTAATCCACAAGCATTCTTTCAGTGAACATTCTTTGTGTTCGTGGAGTCTAGTTTTAAACTAAACTAGACATTTTATCCATGGCCTACATTCTAATATTGGGATTTTCAAAGTTAAAAAAACAACAACAACTAGGGTAACATCATTGTTAAAGTTAAACATTCCATATTTAAAAATAACAAGTTAAACTTAGAATGCAGGAAAAAGTAGTCAGTACTGAACCACCTCTGGTGATAGTGAGGAGCCGTCCACCTGACAGAAATCAAGCACAGCAGCAGTCAGCCTGGAATCCCATGATGTAGCAGAGCTAGGAAAGGCTCAGGCAGTCCTCAATTCTCCCACATTAATCTATAAATTTATCTGCATGATGTACGTGCATGGGTGAGCACACATATATGTGCATTTTTCTGAGGACAGTCTCTTTTCACCAGATTTTCAAAGTGGTCCATGTCCTAAGAAAGGTGAAGAATCACTAGCAAGTCAACCCTGGTTTGCCTTTTTGCTCTAAACCTATACATTTCCTTTCAGTCTAGCCCATTAACAAATTAATGTTCTCTATTCTATTAACAATAGCTTCTTCTGCTACTATATTAGCTCATCCTTACATCATATCCCCTTTTTCCAGGGCTCTCAACACCAGCAGGTCAACTAGAGTTTTCTTCAATGACTGTTTAACTATAATTCTCTCCTTCATTCATTATCCTTTGGACTTCATTGTGTGACTTACGGAATAAAGCACTTAAACTGGTAGGGTCTCCTAGTCCTGTGGTCTAATCCAACCACCCCCACATGGATCAAGCACCTCCAGTGTATCAGGCACACTTCCAGATGCTGAAACTATGTAGTAAACAAACTAAAGTCCTTACCTTTGTGAAGCTTTTGTTTTAATGCAATATATTACATTGTATTTTCTCAAATCAGTTAATAAATGAGCCAACTTTTTAAGAAGAATGTCAACCACTTTCAGGCAAGAATAATTCTTTCACATTTGATTAACCCTGTGTTAGACAATGTACTTGAAAATACTTTCAACCATGTTTCTTGGCTGATGTCACTAACTGGAAAACATTATTTACATTTTCCAAAAATATACATCAAAAGGTAATATTTCATAGTGCAAAGGAAATATCTGCTAATGAGAGAGATTTACCAGATGATATCTCCAGACAGAACCAATCTTACTTAAAACAGTATTTAACTGAGGTGTTTAATCCATTTCCACAAGCAGTATATATATAAACAGCAGTAGAAAGGAGACTGGAGAGAACCAGGAAGAGAGGGCACAACAAAGACAGTGGTAATTTGAACCATGTGGTGCAGAAAATGTTTTGTCTTCTAGAGGATCAGCTTTTAAGGATCATTCTTGATACAATTCATCTATCATTTCTCACAGCTTTGATCATGGAAAAGAATATATTAATGCTTTAAAACAACTTAAAACATCAGTATAAACATTAAGAATTCAACTCCTTTATGAAGTTTTCTTTTTTAAACTATACATTGGCTCTATCTTTTATACATAAGATAAGGCTGCTTCCCAACTAGAAATTTTGAAAATTTTATTACTTGATATTTGGATAATAAGTCAAGAATTTACTATGACTTAAGGTAAAAATTGGTAACTTTCTACACAAGAATTTGATAAAATAACTGCTACTTAAGTAATAAACAAATAAGTAAAATTCTTCTAATGAGTATTGAAAAATATACAGACTTCCTGACATGTTGCCAGAAGAAGAAAGTTAAATATCATAGACTTTAAAGGTCAATTTTATGGGTTGGGCTTATTGTAAACTCATTTAACCACTGTCAAGAAATTGGAGCAGGGCCTAAAAAGGATGCAACAGCAATAACAACAACAAAAAGTGTTCATCTTAAAAATATATAAAGCACATAAAATGTTTTATTTTAAAAAGCAAAAACGAGTATTAAACTGTTTTCCTGTGATATACTTTTATCTTTCAAAAGGTGTACGTTAAAATAAACTTCCATTTACTGATGACTTTGTTTTAAATGTAGTTAACCTGCATTTTCTTCAGAAGCTAAATAAACAAAACCCTTTAAATTTCTGTTGTACTTTTTGGCAATGGCAGAAGAAATGGTAGTAATGGGAATGGAATTTGAATTACAGATGATTGTAGGATTCATATCCTTCAGTACATAGTGAAGTGATATATTAACCCAAATAAGGTACGGCAAATATAAAAACTATATTAATAATAGATTTTTGTATTTATTTATTTATAATATTATAAATGTATTTTATAGCAATTATTCTACCTATATCAAAATACTTTATTATAAGATGAGGTCTATATGAGTCCCAGAACAATATCTCAATTCCATTTTCCTCCATATTAAGACAGGCATCCCAACAGAACCTCATATCCTGAACCTCTTCAAAAATACATATGGCTCCAAGGGAAAAATACAGTGCTGCCAAAAAAGCAATGAATGCAGCAATTCTCTCGTAAATAGCTAGATATACACTTCAAAATGTTTCAGAAAAGCTAGAATGTGGGTAGGTGAACTGAAAGAACTAAATGCATATAATCATCTACCTCTTTTCTGTTTCACATTTTCCTTAACATATATATGCCTATGACTTTTTGGAAGCAACATGATTTGGATCATACCATATCTAGAGTTGACTCATCTATAAGGCATTGTAACGGTGGACAAATCCCAGATTTGAGGTAAGACTGACCTCACCCAGCTCACCCACACATAAGCTGTGTGACTCTGGGTACACAATTTAATGAATACTCATTTCATAGAAATACTTTTGATGAATATTGTGTAACACAAGAAAACTCTTACAACACATAAGTATAAATACAAAACTATACACACATGATCACAATTCTGTTTTACAAATTAGACTACTTTAATTGTTTGCCAAACTTGCATTTGTGTGTAAGCTTTTGGAGTTTTGCCGTGCTCACACATTCACATGAACCATGAGTTACTGGTATCCTTTAAATTGACATAATTTTTAAGGTTTGTACTATATTTCATGAAGTGCTAAAACTTTGAGACATTATTTTACATACCACTAAGAAAAAAGTGCTACCAGATAAACTAGAAGAGGCCACCAATTTTAAAAACATCCCAATTTTAAACAAGATAAAAATGAAAGAAAATGGTGGTGGTGGGAAAATGGAGACACCTGTGCTTGAACAACAATAAAAAATGAAAAAAAATGAAAGAAAATATTTCTAAGAGGCAATAAAATATGGTAACTTCTTCAACCTCTATATCCATGAAATACAGGTTTGATTAGTTCAGTATAATTTTATTAATACATGTTAAGTAAATACCTAGTTACTGGAGTAAAAATTAAAAATTTATATTCACATGTTACATACTTTATGCATTACTTACCTACGTGTATGATCAATTACATAATATTTTTATATCAGCTATATAAATACAGGTGCTTTGTAAAGAGTACCTATTTATACAGCTTCTTTAGGTGTGTGTATTTATATATGGAATTGACTCAAGCAGGAAATGGTTTCTAACCTGAGTGTACTCAAAATTCTCCTTGAAAATATCCTAAATGACCCGTTAACATCAAGCATAGGTGGTTTTGTATATATAACCTGGTATGGTGAGGTTTAAGAATTACCGAAATAGACGGACTGCAGGAAGAAGAGGAAAATACATATGCAAAAGTCTGTGCAAACTCCTGCTTACTTGTAAAGATTATGCCACACAGTCTGACACTTAACATTTATTACTTTATTATGTGGGAATAATTTGTTTGAAATTGTGAGGATTAAATGAGATAGCGGGCAACCCATCTTATCCACTGATTAGACTCTAAACATAGATAGATATAAAATCAGAAAGGATATATATATATATATATGTATACAATTTCCTTTGGGTTTTTCAATCTTGTATATTCAATATGAAATTAAAAATCTTATTAAATTTTGGATTTTAGGAAAAATCGTATCTACTGAAAATATAGATTGAAGAGATTCTCCTCATGCAAACAAACAGGAAATTATCTGAAAGCTCTTATATGAGGTGAGATATTCCTTGAACACCGTTTCTATCCTTGAAATAACTGGCCAGTAAGTATGTCAGCACATTGCCAGTTTTTAATGGGCCACAGTGTAGGAGATAACTCGACAAACAAATTCCGTTCTATAAGGGAACATTCTCACATTCTGCTTTTGAGATTTCAATGCTCACCTTTAAAGTATTTCACAGTTTTAACTCTTAATTCTAAGGTAGCATCCTCATCACACACAAAAATAGTTCGGGGGTGCTGCTGGAAAGCTGAAACAGTCCACATGTGGCTGACTCCCTCTTCTATTGCTTTGTAGAGAGCAAATGCCTTGTGTGCGCCTGTTATGAGGATCATTACCTGAAAAATCATGAACGTTACTTGTTAATTCTTAAAATATTCTAAATAAATGATGGAGAACCTCTATTTGCTTGAAAACAATGACTTGGGCACCAATATTCTTCTGCGAGAAAAATAAAAATAAATAGCTCCATATTTCCTCAAAGTGCAAGGTATTTACTTCTGCTCTTTAAGGTAATAGGCAAATAAAAACCTGTGCACATTAAGCTCTACAACTGAAGATAAGAATATCCTGAAGTATGATGACCTGTTTCAAAAGAATGCTATAAAAATATCAATGCACTAAGCCCTTGGGAAAATGATAGAGCCCGTGAGTCACTCTGCCAAAATGGTTGTCTTTATAGCCATGCTGGCAATGGATACTGTGACATAAATGGCCTCATATAATTTTTTTGTTGGAAAAAATTGACCAAAAAAATCAATATTTGAGTAATTTTCTGTTCATTTTAAGAATCAGCATAAGAGCTGTATTATAATTTAAATCTTGTTAAATTTAAAGAAATATTTGTATAACTTTCAGTTTCATATTTGAGAAATAAGATTGTTCTAAATCTGTTTTTCAACTTATTTACAAAATAAATTTGAGTCTTTGAAAGGTTTTTCATACACTGATGAATTTTAGATGAAAAACTCCTACATTGTGAATGACATTTCTGTTTGTAAGTTCAAATCTAGGTAGGTATATTTACGTCACGATGAGTTAAATATTAATTATTTTCTTGTCTGTAATCTTTCCTCTGAAACTGCCCATCTGGCCCCCAGAAATGAAAGGAGTTTAGGGTTTCTCTATGGTGGTTAAATAACCACTTATAACCATGAGTTGACTGTCTTGCTATTTTCAGGGAAGGAAATGATAGCCCACTTAAAATTTTAAAAATTAGACAGGGTATACTGTTCAGAGATCTTGCCTTTTTTACATGTACTAAATTTAGAACAGACCCAGTCCTAGAGGAGTTCTTTTCCTGCTGGAAACCAACATCCCCATCCTGTCAGGAGTACATTACACTAACTTATCCTGAGCCTCCAAAAGTAGGTGAGTATCATCTAGCATTGCACTGTTGCAATGCACAGTTTTTTACAAGAATATTTCACTTAAAAACATAAATATAATCAGGGTGATTTTAGGACCTCAAATTGTAAAGCAGGAGTAGGCAAGTGAAGGAGTAACCCAAAAGAGGCAGTGCCTAATTCTTAGTTTATAGCTCAAAAGACTGAATTTAGCTGAATTCTAAACATGGCAATAAGAAAAAAAAAGTTACTGAAAGCTAGAACATTTAAAATGTGAATAGGTAGCAACCAAAATATAACATATTAGGCACCATTAATTCCTCCAATATCTATTAATATCAAAGGAAAAACGTTAATTCTTACTTCTCTAGCATCCATCACTGTCCCCACACCAACTGTTAGAGCCATAGTTGGCACCTTCGATAAATCTCCATCAAAATATTTAGCATTTGCCAAAATGGTGTCCATTGCTAGAGTCTTTAACCTTGTTCTTGATACTAAACTGGATCCTGGCTCATTGAAAGCAATATGACCATCCGGACCAATTCCTTTCAAAAGAAATACACACACACAAACGTAGATAAGTAAAGAAGGCTTTCAAAGTTCAACGTGTCTTTAAGAACGAAGAAACAGTTATAATCATGCTTACCATGTTTATTCAATAGCTGAATTTCCAGTGATGCATTAACATAGCTGTTCCTGTATGTATTTGATTTGACAAGTACTTCACTGTTAGCATTGAGGTGGCATTATTCCATTAGCAGTAAAATTACGTATGTCCTTATATTAGAATAATACTTTACATTTATAGAGCATTTTTACATGCATCATCTCAACAGCAGACATATTTAACAATCCTATGAGATAGGTTAGGCTTATCTATTTCCCTCATCACCCCCAACTTTTTTTAGATTCAAAAGGAAAGACTGCTGCTCCAGGATAACATACGACTTGTTCAAGTTAGCAATGTAGTAACTACTGAAAACATAAATCTAAATTTTCGGATGCTGACCCAGTGGTCTTTTTTTGTTTTACTCACACTTTAACTTGCTTGGTTCTAGTCCAGATGGGACAATTAACTCCTCCTCCCTATAGTACAATTTCCTCATTTATAAAAATGTCTACACTGGACAAGATATTTCCTTGGGGAAGCAGTTTTCTTCAAACTTTTTGTTACTGTAACCACTTGTAAGAAACACATCTGAGGCTTCAATCTAGTACATGTACACACCCACACACAGATAAATATCACTGAAACAAGAATTGCATGGAACAATAGCCCTTCTAGGAGCCATATAAGCTACTCTGAGTACACTCATTTGAATGTAGTTTGAATGTAGTTTTCATTTGAGTGTACTTTGAATGTAGTTTGGATTACATTCAAAACATACAAAAAGGAAATACTGCATGTAATTGACTATATTGATTTCATGACTTAATAGTGGGTGACATACACAATTTGAAAATACTGCTTCAAGGAGGTCTACTGTCAGCTCTAATATTCTAGGATTGCCTCTAAAATTTAGGTAAAAATATGGCATTCCTTATTTGAAGGATATTGCAGGTATACCTTTTATAAAATCAACACTCTGTCTACAACATAATAAACCAAGTTTCATTTACATGTACTATATTAGCTAGTCAGATTTCTGACAATCTCAATAAAAAAACACACCCACCAGATCTCGGAGTCAAAAATTCGGTTACCTTTATAATTGCATATTTACTTTAATGATACTGTATTTTACTGACCCTTTAACACACACTTCTGACAAATTATTCCCAGGTGACAACGTAAAACATGACAAAGAGTAACCTGGTTTTGTAGGAAGAAAAAAGAAATGAAAACCTTAGGAAGCAGATATACTACTACCAGAGCACAACAACCTCGGTATTTTTAATGTGGAGACATAAAGCCAGACCCACGTGTGGCTAATACATACGGACTATTTCCATTATTAAGTATGTATCTGCTTGTAAATGCATGTTTTAAATTATAGATATACATCTTTCTAGATTTGTAAAACTATTTTGTTTCACCTCTTAAATATACCCAAATATTTATATTTCTCTATGTGTGTATAAAGAGGAAAGGATGGAACCAGGAAAATCAAAGTTCTGGGGAAAACAAAGTCCTTCCAAATCAACGCTAGTGGTCTCACTGGTTATTTGGGTCATACGAGTGTACAATAGTTCTTAATGGAGAAATGTCCATGTATTCCTTTAATAATGATCAGAAGTTGAGCTTTCTGATACAAAATTACATTTTTTCAAATGTTCATAGCATTTTACAAGGCTTTATAGACTTTCTTAAAAATAATCATGAAATCTAAAACCATGGCTACTTCTTATTCGGTCTAAGTCAAAACTAGGATATCAGAACCTTTATGAAACACCTCTAAAACCTCAGAGTCTGGATTATGCAGGGTGGGACAAAAGTAGATTTACAGATGTTTGTATGGAAAATACAACAATAAATAATAATATAAGAATAATCTGTTTCATGTTCTCGCAACTGTAAACCTACCTTTGTTCTACCCTGTATGTTTTTCTCATGTCCCTTATAGTTTGTGGGATACACTGTGAACTTCATGAGAGTAAAACTTTATCTTCTTCATCACTGTATCCTTACCATTTAGCTCAAGGCATGACACACAGGAGGTCCTCACTAAATATTGGCTGAATAAATGAATGGATGGATGCTGTTCTTGAATATGCTCAGAGTTTCTCCCTGCTGCTTCCGCCCTGCTCTCCTTCCCTCAAAACAGGGGCTAGGACAGTCAGAATACCTGTGTGTCTCTCAGGCAGAATGAACTGTGGCCTAAGGATAAGTAGTTGTCCCCACCTGAAATAATTAGAATTTCTTTCTGGGGATTCTGAAACTTGGTGAGGGTCACAGAAAGAAAAAAGGAATTCAGGGCTGAGGCATCTGATGGCGGCAGTGTGGGAAAGGGTGGATGAGTTGCCCCTGCTTCGGAGATCTGAGGCTCCCGATTCTTGTTCTCCCAAAGACTTGGTTTTATTCAACTCTTCTCACCCAACAATCATTCCAATTAATTCAATTTTGACCCCATTAGCAGTTTAAGGTTACTTGTAAACCGAAGTCTCTAATCATGTATCCAAAGGAAAGTGTTAAAGTTTTCCTCACTGTTTTATTTTCTTTTTTAAAAGAGTGTGATTTATAAAATTCCATGTCTGTGTGCTTTATGGCTGTGGGGGGTCAAGGAGAACATGATACGCTCTCATCTCAACACTTCCCGCATCAGAGGAAGAACGAGAACCTTTGGGAGAGCCCTCCTCCTTTCCCTTCCCTTCTGAAGGAAGGGGCTCCTGCTGCATTCCCCAGAGTGAGCTCTGCGGCTTACACGTCGTAAACTGCCCATGTTGGCCTCAAGCACAACCTGCGATCTCTAATCCAACTTTACCTTTAATAAGGCTGATATTTTGATCCCATTTGGCTCAGTTCTTAGTGTTTTTATTAACCAAACCCTGGAACAAAAGAAGGGTAAGTGGTAAGACCCAGATACCAAGCCTCATCTTGAAAATCCAATGATGAGAAACCTAGATCAACAAAGGCAAAGAATCAAATGAGATTCTTTCATGAGTACACATCCAATAATAGGGTACCAAACAGGAAAAAGTTGAAAGAAAATGAAATAAATTAACCATTCATTCTGTATACACAGAGCAATTATGTCCTTCGAATTGTAAATATAAACTGTGGGGCCCTAGACCATCATATGACTGAAGTGAAGATGCTAATGGAAGAAGCAAGGAAATCCTCTTAAGTTTTTATTTTGCTGGGAGCCAAAGTCCACAGAAAGCTTAAGATAAAAATTGGTTAAAAAACAAGGTAAAGTTCTTTTTAGTAGTAGAAGTGAATGATAAATAATTATAATTTATGCACTACTTACTCAATGGGAGAAGTAAGGTGACTTATAGTGAAAAAATGAACCAAAAAAGGTTAGCTAAAAGGAAATGAGAAGTGACTTAAAGCTATGAAGAAAGAAGAAAGCTCTACTAGAACTCTTTGATAAGGGAAATTAGATTCAACCTTAAATATTATGTTCATCTATGGATGCTTTCTGGTAAGCAAGCGAAAGGACAAAGTGGAGTTAGAGTTATCAGTTTTTTTCTCAGTAAGTTCTACTTCCTGGCATTGAGTCCCTAAGGGATTTGACACATGGATCCTTCTGTAAAGTCAATAAATTAACAGAAAAAAAAGTGTTCAATGAAGTAAAAAAATGTTTTTTCATGCAGCCATTTTTAATAATGAAAATATCCTAATAACTATAATCTTTTTTATATAACAGTACATAAGAGAAAATACTTCATGATATAACTAAACAGTTTAGGTATACTATATAACAATAATTCTACTAGATTTTGGTACAGAGTTTAAAAAATCTGAAGAACACAGGGGTAGTGCACTCCTTAAACAATCTCAAGTATCTACTTCCTTAGCCTTGATATTTGCAAGTGCAAATAGTAATTATCTCAGAATTGAGCCAGATGGACAAAAGTGAAGTACAAATGTTTTCCAGGAACCCTGAGGTAATATGAGGAAATTTGATTTAAAATGCAGATAACTTTTCTATTTTGAAAAGCAAAATAATCTAAGTTAGATTCTTGCTCCAATAAAAATCATTCCATCTACACAAGAAAGTAACTGATAGTGTGGTTCTGCTGGACAGAGATAAAACTTCCCTTAAAGAGAGAATTTTTATCTTGCCAGGTACCTTTACAGGTAGGTTATTCAGTTTAAAAGCAGGAAATTTAGTGAATTAAGGAACAATTATTTCAGCATCTACAGTTCAGAGAAGAAAGACTGCACTAACACTTAATAGAATACCAACTACATACCAGCCACTGTGCAAGGCATTTTATACATTTTAACACAGTTAATGCTCACACATTTTGGAATGGTTAACATTAATCCTGCTTTACAAATGACTTAATTACACTGAACTTCAATTAACCTCCCAAAGTTTTACAGATAACAAGTGGCCAAAACAGGAGGAAAATTTATGTTTGACTGAAAAACCCAATTCTCCCCAAGGACAACCAACAGACTCAACCATACTTGGCCACCTCAACCATAAATTAACCTCATACAGTTCTAGCGAAGAGCTAATTCATGTAATTTTCAGCAGGCTTCTAATAAGTTAATTATAAGATACATCCAAAGAACTTAATGTTAATTTTGAGCTTTAGTATGTTTAGTTGAATACTAAAGAATCTGCCAAAAAACTACTTTAGTTTCAGTGTAGTTGATGTTACTGTGATGTTAAGATACTATTTTGTTGGTAACAAATTAGCCATCTCAAATGCTTCAAACTGATGACAGAAAACTATGTTGTTATCACAAAGGAAGAAACTCTTCACCTATTTTCGGTGATAGTTATGCACACTCAAACATCTCCACACATAAGTTTCTAGTGGAATTAGTTCAGCATTTAATCCCTTTGGGAGATTATGAAGATAATCATACTGCTTAATTCATATTAACCAAAGGCTGCTGATAATAAAATCTTACATCATTCTTACCTGATTTCTTAGAGCAAATTAAGTGACTAGTAGAGAAATGCTAAAATCCACTTGTTCCACATGTGACTTTTAGAAATTTAACTCTCTAACATGACAAGAAGCTGGGTTGATATTAAAAAAATAGGATAAAAATATCGTTTAGGAAAAGAAACAAAGGAATCGGGATCTGTTTCTCAAATGTAAGATTATTTTTTGATGAAAATAAGGTAAAATAGAAATCAGAAGCTGAGTAAACGTGTATTATAGAAGTCACAGGTGTTCTTCACACTATGCAATGGTGAGATGTTTTTTATTCATAGCACCTTAACCAAGTATTAATAAATGACTAATGACAAAATGTCATACATACCTCCAACAAAGAGATCAATTCCTCCAGCTTCTTTTATTTTCTTCTCAAATGCGTCACATTCTGCTTGTAAGTCTGCAGCGTTTCCATCAAGGATATGAGCATTATTAGGATCTATATCAACATGCTTAAAAAAGTTATTCCACATATAAGAATGGTAGCTTTCCGGATGATTTCTGGGAAGTCCTAAATGTAAAGTTAGTAAATATAAATGTAATTATTTTCAGAAATAAATCTAAAATGTACTTTTCTGATTAAGCTTTAAATGCTATTTAAAATATGTAATCTTTCTACACCACATTCAACATAAAAGAATTTTTATGTGGAATATATGCCAGGCATTATTTTAATGACTGTACATGTATGCTAATTCAATTAATTTGTACATCTATAAAAATATTATCATCATCCCACTTTACAGGTTACCAATAGAAGCACAGGAAATGTAAATAACTTTCTTAAAGTTACATAAGTCATAGAGGGGCTGGAACTCAAACACAGAAGTCTAGTTCATGTGCATTTAGTCACTAGATTCCATTTGTCAAACATGCAAAATTTTAACCAATGGAACTGATGTGTTAAACTCAATGTAAATTAACCACACAACTAAAATGATGGTCCATGTTCCTTCTGTATTCTTCCTGTGTGCCTACAAAATATATTGAATCACAAGAGTTCTTGGCTATCACTTAGGCTACCCATAAACATGTTTTATTATATTTAAAAGCACAGTTTATATGCATCACAGATCTTTCTAATTAAGCAAGTTAGCAATCAATAAATTATAAAAACTTTAAAGCTACAAATATAATAGCCTTAAACTTACAAAATCTTTATTTTGCTAATTACTCTTATATGTTACTTTATTCCCCACAAGAAGACTAGTCTTAACTTTGCCTTCAGGAAAATTTTTTTAAAAGAATAAGAAATGTGAACAGATTAGGTCAAAGTTTTAAGATTAGTAAATTACAGAGCCCAAGATGAGTACAGATAATCTGATTCTTAGTCCCATATTCCTTCTATTATATTGTGCTATTATTGCAAAAATAAAGATTTTTTTATAATTCCCAACCTCATCATAAGCTGTATATTATACTCTAAAAGTATATTCATATTACATTCAACATAATTGCAAATTACATTATTCTCAAAATATACTCACTTAAAAATAATACACATAACATACCCAAATCATATATTAAAAAAATATAGCTTACCTACATACTCATCCATGTTAAAGGTCTTCACATATTTAAAAGAGAGGTCTCCATTTTTGTGATATTCTATTAGTTTTTTATAACATCCTAATGGTGTACTACCTAAAAGAGATAAAAATTACATTTTCTAACATAACGAAAATTTAATTTAAAAGTTTACATTAACTTTATCCTATATCTCTACTATAATAGGCAAACAATTCTTAGTATTTAAATATGTATTCAATTAACACATATATGATTAATGAGTCTCTTTTGAAGACACACTGATATTTTATTAAACTAGAATTTGCTGATAAAGTTGGAAATCTGTCAATAGAAATTACAGTTCAGAAAATTATTCTTGAGTTGTTAGGTATTTGGAATTAGTATGTATATTCCAAGATTAGAAACATTTAGCACATTTGAATTTTTTAAAAAATCTACCTTTAGAAGAAAAAAATTTAGAGGATTTGTAGCCTCAAGGATATATAAACAGACCAAGTATTGACCATATATTGAAATCAAAAGGAAAACCAAAGCTAAAATTAAATATTGTCCCTAATTTCAAAATTGACTCTGAAACTGGCAAGGACTGAGTAAGGAAACTTACCCTTTAAGTATTTAACTGGAGTTCCCGTTCCTCATTTGTTATGTGTGATCTTTAACATGTATCAGCAGAATGCATTATGTAAAATGACTTCTAGGAAATGGGATCTTGACTTTGAGTACTTCATCTGAGTTCCTGATTTTATTGTTTTATAAATGTAATTCTTTATATGGTTTATAAAATTAAAATGATTTTTTAAAATCCCTCATGATATAGTACAATAAAGATAAGTCAATTTAGCCACTTGAGAATGGCCTTCCTTTATTTTATGAATAGACTATACTTTTTCATTGAGCTACAAATTGGAAGGCGAGCTTGGCTGTATTCTAACAGCAAGTGCCCTGGTCTTCCCATTCCTGGTTACAGTGCTGACTCCTCGTCCACCCACCATCCCAAAACAAAGCACCTGCACACAAAATTTCTAGTGAAGTGGCAGGCAGAACTAAACAGTCTCTGGCAAAAAAGAAAGTGTATATGTTTATACATATAAATATAAATATATATATATATATATATATGCATGTGTGCTTATATGTATATATGTGCATATATACACACATAGAAACAAATTCTAAAGTAGTAAAAGGACTGCCTCTCATTTGAGAAGACAATAATGGAAGTGGCTATAAATAATAAATATCATAGGGACAGATTCAGAGAACAAAAGACTAAGAGATTTTCTTAAAGTTAGGCATATACATTGCTTTAAAATGCAATTAATAGTTGTCAAATTTTACAATTCCTTCTCAAAGAACCACAGCCCGCTAACATGAAAAATGGCTAAAAAATGGATAAATATGCTTTTCTTTCTTTCCTCTAAAAGCATAAGTATTCTGACTTTATCTTTCTATAACTATGTCTATGGAAATCCCTCTTAATTTAAGGATATATAAATAAAAAATGAGAAGTTGTCACAATGGTAAAAAGAAATATGCATTTTTCCACTTTTGAATCAAAGTGGCTAAAGAAAAAAACAATGGAAGATATGGTACAGGGTGTATTGATTTTAAAATTCATTTAAATATTTGCTTTGTGATACTCAGTAACAATATTTAGCAAGAGCTTATTATAATTCTGATAAAATAAAGATTAAGACTGTTTCTATCCTAGAAGAACTCAAAAGATGGGGTAGCAAGTACAGAGTAACTTTAACACAAGAAAACTATTATAAATAACCTATAAGAAGTCCAGAAAACTGTTACGAACCCAAGAAAACTATAGTCTTGCTTGTTGGTGGAAGGATCAAAGAACATGACATTTCAACTAAGTTTTGAAGGAGTGGAATTCCAATAGTCAAAGATTGGGTAAGTTGTAGTGGAGACCAGAAAAAAATGGGGGGAGGAGGTTCAAAGACAGCCTTTTTATGCCTTCCATGTGCTAGATACAATGCTCATGTTTTCATACATTAGCTCATGTACACCCCAAAACCTTGGGAAGTTGGCATTATCTTTCCCATTGTGAAGATAAAAGAATCAGGTCAAAAAAGATTAAGGAATCTGCTAAATATCACACGGCAGTGAAGCCAGAGATTCAATAGTTTATTTGGTTCCAGAGCTCATATAGTTTTCATTATATAACACACTAGCGACATGAGTGAAAGTAAAGCCAGCAAGTTCAGGCGTATTCTTTAAAGTAAAAGCAGGCTAATTTTCCTGTCATGATTCAGTTCAGGGGAACAAACAGTGGGAATAAGTCAGGGATGTAAGTCAGGCCCATAGCACTCAGGCCCTTAAATGTCAAGCTTGTTAAAATCACTTCAATAAATACACTGAGCAAATATATCTCAGAAATTGTGCTTGGTTGGAGGGTAATTACAATAGAACGTGTTACTTGCAATTACAGAAATGTGCTCACACATTTCAAAAGCACAGAGAGTAGGGGGTATGATAAACACTGTTGATGGCCAACGGTCAATGAAGGAGAAAAGCAGGAAACACCAAGAGATACACACTTTTGGCAGGTACATTACTAGGCAGTTACACTAGCCAAAACAAAGCAAAAGTTGTATATCTAAATACACAAAAAGATGTTTAGCACTGTTGGCATTTATGACAAGCCCTTCTGTCCTCACACTCAAATTACAGTTTATTTCTACATCATAATTAAGCCAGAGTGACTAAGTTAGGTGGCCTGAATATAGCACAGATTTACAGTATGTGAACTGATAAGAAAGCCATGGTTCAACTACTGGAGCTCACGTATCAGAACTGTGGTTGCTGGGAAGGCCCAGTAATGGTGTGTACAATTGTATGAAGTACCTCTCTGCCATTTGCCATTCTCATCAAGGTCTACTGCACTGGACCAAAAAGCAAAAAGCAAAACAACACACAGACAAAAAAAGTCAACTTGGTAAACTAAAGATTAACTTTCATAAAAATTATGTAAGTGCAAAAAATATTATGATCGTACATTTTACATAGTTGGCATGTGTTGGGAGTGGGGAGAACAGGAGGAGAAAGTACTGTTTAAATAAAACACATTTATGGGAACTTTAAATTTATATAGTATTTGTAGTATATAAGGGACTTGCACATTTACTCTTATTTGTGCTCAAAACAGACTGTCAGCTGTTATTATCCTTCTCTTTCTAAAAGGTAAGGAAATTGAGGCCCAGGAATGCAGAACAAATGCCTTGCTGTAAGCAAGGAAGTAGCAACCCTGATTCCAGGTCCAATACTCTTTCCTGTGGAAGTCTACAATACCAAATAAAGTGCCGCAATGTCGATGACACTATTTGGTTTTTTTTTTTTAAGGAAAAACTTGACAGAGAACTAAATTCAATAAAATATGTAATGAATGCTTATATTTATTCTGTCATGAAAACATACTAATCTGTAATTTTTTACTTAGATACTTCGATAAAAGAAAGAAAATAAACAGAAATAGCAAAGGGCTAATATGATAACATGAAGCAGCTAAGGTGAAAGTAACACAACAGCACATACTCTAGGTACCTCTTCATGGTTAATAGGAAGGATAATCTAATAGAAATTATATGAATAGTGAAAGTGACGTCCCTAAAACAAACAAACAAAAAACTACAAGAAAAATGTACAAAAAATACTATGACCATCACTTAAGTTAGGGTATTTCCGTCTGTATTTTGGAGTGGTAGGTGAGATAGAATTTAAACAAAATACAGTAACAAAATATAGACGCTAGATAGACAGATGATAGATAAAGAGATAGGTAGGTAGAGATTTCTGGCTTTATATACTAATATATTCAATCAGTGATGTGATAAACTAAACAAGAAACATTTTATTAAAGGAAATCCTTCAATCCCAGAACTTCAAATATCTAAAATGGGGGGAAAGGTATATTACCTGTTGGTAAACCCAGGGTAAAGTATCTGTCCTGTCCAGGTTTGAACTGGATGATACGATTACAGATGTATTTGGCTGCCCATTCACTAGCCAAGTCATAGTTATCGAGAATTACCAGCCTCATTACGGTGGTGCACAGCTTCCAGGACAAGAAGTTCAAACCTGAGAAAATTCCATTGCAGAACACTTGAAATAACTTACAGACAGTTAAATAGAAGTGTAACACCCTGATGAATTAAAAACAGACATTACTTAAGAAAGACACGCATGTATACAAATACAATCTGTACTTTGTAGTAGTAATAGCTGTTCTCTTTTAAACACACCTTGGTTTCTGGGCAGTAGGCTAGGTCATTTAAATACATATAATAATCCTAACAATGATCTGCAAAAGTAAACATCATGCCCAGTTTTAGATGAGGGCAGAAACTCACACAATTTACACGGCTACTAAGTGAGGAAGCCAGAATTCATATCAAGGCAAATTTACTATAAAGACACTACATTGTCTCTACAAGGGTACTGTATGAATCAACACAAAACAAACCTAAAGGCAAACAAAGCCGTACTCATTTCTTGATTGCAAGTTAATGGTAATAATGATTACTCAGCAACTTTTTGGTTATTTACTAAAATCCAGAATTCTCCCTATAAATGACATAAAAATCAAACCTCCCTTTATGAAATAATGTTTTTATAAAAATGATACCTGGACTTTAAAACTTTTTCAATCAATATAGAAAGGTAAAAAAAAAGTTTAAAAAATCAACCCAAATCCTATGACTCAAATAATTCTATTATTATTAGGTTTATATCATTGCAGATATCCAATGCACACAAGTAAATAGAATGTATAGAAATAGTTTTTAATAATGGGATCATACTATGCATGCTATTTTTGAGTGTTTAAAGATGCTTTTCTTTTAGACACATTTTTTCATTTCTTTAATTAGATTTATTGGGATGACATTGCTTAATAAAATTATACTGATTTTGACATACTATTTTTAATAGAAATCATAGCACTAAATTTTCCCTGCATTCGACAAAAGAAAAACAAAGTGAACTAAGGAACTGCTGATTTTGGGGGAAAAATTTTCTTCACAAAAGCAATTTCAGTTCCTAAAAGAGTACTCTAAAGTTAACAGAAATTATACAAATATTAAAAGAGCAGAGTCATTTAAAAACTATATGCTTCCATTTTAGACAATGTGGATTGACCTAGTATAATGAAAGAAAAAATTGCATTCTTACACTTTCTAACATCCCGATTTCTGTAAGATGTACTATTTTTGTATTGTCAAGATTTATAACATTTACACTAGAACAGTAATTTCCACATTTTAATTCCCAAGTTTTCTATTTCTACAATCCCACATTTAATTTAGTTTTACACTTACATGGATTTGTCACCCAACCAATCCTTTTAGAAACTGCTTCAGCAGCAGAAGTCCTGAATTCTGTACCCACAGGCTTTACATAGAATAACGAGTCAACTTCTTTAACTCGACAGGGGCAGGTCACATTACAATGAATATACAGAACCTAAACAATGTCCTTGGGAACATAACAATTTAGGATTCTGGCATAACAACAAAAATTATGATCACTAACATCTAGAATTCTGGCACAGTGACAAGAGGTAAATAGCATTTGCTTATTTAAAACATAGATTCCCAGGCCACTTTCACAGAACACAGTATTTCTGAAATGGGATCCAGGGAATCCCCACTTTTACAAACAGCACATCTGATTCTTACTATCGGGTGAAATTTGGGAAAGAACGCCACGCGCACGAGATGGCTGCATTGGAGAGGTTCAAGTAAGTCAGGTCAGGTACAGGCAAGTTTTGTCTATTTTTTAAACTGTCTGGAGTCCAAAATGAATCAATTCACCCAGAGAAAAGCAGAAAGGTTTTGCCACAGTTAAGCATGCAAATTAAGAAATGCGTTTCTGCCAGTCCTAAGAGATCCAAACTTCTATGGCCCTGGGCCATTTTCTGGCATCACAACCAGGGCTCTCAAAAAGTGACACAGCACCACCACGTCCTTCATCTTCCCCAGGTGCTGATTCATTTTGGAGGAAGGGCTGCTGAACACAAATCTCAGAACTTTAGAGCTGGATGGGAACTTCTACAGGACTTGGGCTTCACGGTAGGATCTATGGTAGGATTTAGACTTCCGGAGTCGTTGCTCTGGGCTTTTTCCCTACACCACACAGTATCTAACCTGAAAAGGTCCCAGAAGCCCGGACCAAGCAGAGGACGTGCAGGGCGGGGTGCCCGCTCCCAAGCAGGTGCCCCAGGCAGCAGAGAAGGGTGTGGTTTCTGCCAAGGGAGAAAAAAAAAAAGGGCTTGGGCTGCAGACCCACCTACACTGCGCGGCTGCCGGGCCCAGTCACTCCAGAAACTACAGCTACTAGCAAGTGAGGATGATTTACGAATTTTTGACAAGTGTCAGGGGAAAGCCGCCAGAGGGGAGGCGCCAGATGGAAACCCCCTCCTTAAGCCCCAGTTCTGAACTGGAGGACCAGCCAAGTTTGATGCTGGTCGTCCTCCCTTCTCCGTCCCCGCGCCTCGCGGGTCCCCGGACCCTAAATCCACCGTGGGGTCCACGTACCTCTCTCGGTACAAAGCCCAACCGAGGGGACTAGGACCAGCCGGGTCCTACCGCCCGACGCTCCTACTTGACCCAAAGCCCTGGACCACCCCCCCCCCCCCCCCGGCTCACCAGCTCTTCCCACGCAGGAACGATCAGAACAGCCAACACTTAGCAACCCCCGAACGACCCGCAACAGCAAGTGGAGCGCGAACCCGAAGACCCGGATGCAAAACGAGGCGTAGGCAAGGCGGCGAGGCCTGAGCGTAGTGCGCATGCGCGTGCTCCTCGTCCCTAGTGATGGGCGCTGTGGAGTCCCTTCACGGTTCTGTGCGGCAGGAATCCTTTACTGCGTGGGGGTCTCCAGTTCCTGGGCTCCCCATGCCGCTATCCCCCTGCCCCTCCTTTCTTTTTATCTCTCAGAGGTTGAATTGCTGTAGATTCTTTGGGTTTATGAGATTTAGAATGTCGCGCTTACTTACAGTAGTCATGCAAAAACATACTTCGGTTATTGCTCATAATGAAAATAGGGATTCGTCTCTCTTTGCCCCAAGCAATTGGATGCCCTCTACTTTGCAAGCACAATCACAGCTAAGAGCTTTTCATCAACAAGCTCATTAAAGTTAAGTTTATTAAGTGCTGCGAAAGGCAACATATTTACCATGGGAAACCTTGGAGCAGCTCAGTAAAAGTAAACCCAGAAGGAGATTTTAATGAGATGTTTAAGGCCTTGTGCTGAAGGAGTCTGAAAATGTGATAGAGGAAACAGTCAGATCTTTGTTCAGGAGGGGGAAAAAAGGAAGCAGGGCTAGAGAAGCAGAAGCAGCAATCACTCTGAAGGAGGTTTGTGTGGCTTCTCTATGCCCCATTAGGAGCGCTGTTTAGAGTTCTGTTAGGAACAATACAGTCTGTCATCAGCATAGAATGACAGACAGTCTCAAGGTCCTGTTTCCTTGGACACTAGAAAGTTAAGGAGAATGTGAAATGTACTGTCTCCAAATTCTTCATCTGTAGTTCTTCACCTGAGTTGTAAATCCAGCTTCTCTGAGTCAAATGACACCCCTTGCTTGCATTCTTTAGCCAAGAATAGGATGCTCCATTCTCAATGATAGGACTTCAAAGAGCAAAGTTTCTTATAAACTGGTATTAGAAGACAAAGTTTTTTTTAGCATTATAGGATTTAGTTAGCTTACAAAAACAGTTTTTAACACCTTGCCAGGACTACAATACACCATTTTAACAAAAATCTATTGTGCATTTAGTGTGGTCAAAAAGACCTGCAAGTAATAAAAAGAGCTTTACATGGAATGTTATTGGAGCAGAATGAATATTTAAGAATGCATTCTTTCTCAGGAGGTTCGCTTCTTCATGAGTTCTTGACAGTAGAAGAGCAAGTTCTGCTCTTTACTGGTATAAGTACTACTGTTAATTCTGCTGTGATTACGCTATATTATGTTCTGTCTGCCTTTTCTCTAAGTTGCTGTTTCTTACCTCTTGCAACCCAAATGCCATGCTCTTTGTACCAAAATTAAAGCAAGCAGTTACTTCCATCAAGAGCAAAATATTTAATGCTAAATAGGAAAATTATGGTTGAGAAGGGTAGGGGCATGTAAGCTGAGTCATTCATTTGTCCATTCAAGACCCTATTATGTACCAGATGTCAACATGAGTAAGACAGACAGACACACAGCCCTTGCTTTCAGTGAACTAATAGTCTGGTGGGGATACAGACATCACCTAGTAAATCCAAATAAAGCAACACAGTCTCAATCATGAGATTCTAATTGAGATATGCCTTTATGTTTAAGGTTACCTGAGTGTAGGAAAGACCTGTGTCCTGTCTTCCAAATAAAACCCCAAAGAATGGTGAGACTAATTGAAAGGTCCTTAACAAAGGTTTTAGATGAAGGGTTTCAATAGGCTTTCACTCAAGGACAGACTTTGAGTGGCATAGAAACAGTGGGGTAGAGGTGACTATGTAGGTGACAGGATAATATGCCTGATAAAGACCCTGGTCTACTACAGGTCACAGAGAGAAACATCAGACAGCAGTCATATGCTGTGATCCTGAGTAGCTGACATAGAGCTTCGGTTAACTGACACAGAACCTGAAGTAGTGCTTCAGTCAATGGGTATTATACAATGGAAGCTGACAAACAAAGGATATTTCAGCAGATACCAATTGGGATATATGCTTAAGACCATTAACCACAGGGAGAAACCCTTATCCATTGCAGTGGATGACAGAGAAGAGAAAATGATCCCAGAACAAATGTCTTTATTGATGTAGGCACCAGTAGCCTCTGCACTGTAGATGCCATCCCGAATTGAAGGTTGGGAAGAGTGATACAGATGGAGGACTCAAATGCTGGGAATTTTTTAGTTTGAGGTAAGAGCTAATGAGCTTAGTAATCAATGTATGGAAAAGCTATTGTTTCAGAAACTGAAGGTATGACCCACATTGACTCCAAGAGACCACAAACAGTTCCACCTTTGCCCTCAGGAGGACTGCAAGCAATCAAGATGGTATCAGAGCCATTGTGGTCCAGGGTGAGAGTCCCTGCACCAAGAACACAGATTAAAGAATGCTGCAGCTTTTTATCTGATTAACTTTCCCCCTGAATTCCAAACCCCTTACCTACACTTTTCTTCTCCTTGTAAAAAGGGTGGGTTTAAAATGGAATTTAAGACAGTCTGTTAGTGTACAAACCCACCACATTCTAAGCTTGCCAGGCATCTGAATAAAGCGTCCATAAAGATTCAATCCCTGTCTCTGCTTATTGGATTTGGTAGGTGACTGGCAGCACAGATGCTGGCTTTTCCAGTTTCAATATCTACCAATGACAGAACCTTTACTTAAAATGACTAAGAAAGCATTAAACAATTAAGTGAACCTGAAAACAGCTGGTTTAAGTTTCCTGCTCACGTGAGAATGAGTCTTGAGGAAAAGATTTAAATAAAAGTTATATTAAAGATGTATGTAATATAGATATATTAAAAACAAGAAATTGCTTATGGGAATGTATGGCCTATGAGATTTTTGTATGTTACACAATATTTTAGCAGGGGATACCATGACCAGATGTGTATGCAAAACAAATATCACCCTGCATGCCTGCAAAGAACAGGCTGAAGTTAGATCAGGATAGATCAGGGTAAGCTGGGTTTTGCCAGTAAGAAAATACAGAGAGGCGCCCTTGGCATCCAGGAAACAGCTTGCCAAAGGGATGCAGGCAAGAAAATAAAAGGCATACGTGTGAAATTTTGAATTAATCTCATGGAGCTGAGAGCAGCATGTGTTTCAAAAACTAGCAGAAATTGAATCCAGAAAGAGAGGTCAAGGTGAAATGAAATATCTTATAGACCATGTGTAGAAGTTAAACTTTATATTGTAGGCAATGGGTAGCCACTTAAGCTTGATGAATGCCATAAAAGACTAGCAGATTGTGTCTTAAAGAGCAGGAGGTGAGGGGGTAGCCTCATTTTGTATTTTTCCTGGCGGGGCCCTAGAATTAAGCATTCACTAATGACTGATAGTTTCAATATTTTTAAAATAAAAAATGGATGTTATTTATTAAATACTCTGCATCTATGGAAATGATGGTATAGTTTTCCATTTTAGTCTGTTGGTGAATATAGTGATTGATTTTCAAATACGAAATATATCTTGTGTGGACAAAAAAAGGGTCTGAATACTAAACCTGACATGCTCAGGGGAGGCCTGCACGGCGGCCTTACAAACTCGAAGACAGAATGAAACCTCATAAGGTGGTCTGAAATTAAAACTTTAAAATGTTCTAACCAAAAGCAGGTGGTGGCAGTAGTCCTGTCCCAGGCCAGCATCTTCCTTGGCAAAGGTCAGTCTTTACCTTAACTGAGCCTGTCTATTGTCTTTTTACATCTAAGATAACATACCTTTGAAATGCCAGAGTAATCTCCTTTTCCAGACTCCTCAGGGCACTGCACCAGAGCCAGAGACCACAGAACCCCTCGCTGTTATCTTGTTCAGGAATATCATCTCCGTGTTTTGTCAGTGTTGACTGTTAATTGTCCTATACCTACCACTCTAAAAGAAGTGTCTGTTTTACTTTTTATTCAGTCCCAGAGATTTCCTGCTTTGCTTTCTCCTCTCTCCCTCATGTATCACCAGTGGATTTCATGTAACCCTCTTACATCTTCTCCTTTGATTCCGATGTATATAAAAAGGGTGAAACTGCCATCTTCCAGAGCATTTTCTCAATCCATTGAGATGTGTCCTCAGTCTGGCTCAAATAAGCTCACAAAAATTCTTACAGGTTTGGAAGTTTCTTCCATCAACACTGGCATTGCTGAGATAAACATGATTTGGGTATGATTTTTTTTTTTTTTTGGCCATAGTCATGGTCTTTCAGCCAGAAGCAACGAAACGTTTGCCTGTAAAGTTTTGAACAAATGCCACTTTCCCTCTGGGTGTGGCTTTAGCACTACACTGGAGTTCTGAGTTGGACAACATAAAGATCAGCCTTTCAACAGCTTCTTGGGAAGTTCTTTCTTTTACCTTAACTAGAAAGGTTCAATAGTGGCTATTATTGGAAGGAGCATTTGAATGCACTCCAGGTTGGTTTTGCTCCCCCTGCCCCGAACAGGGCTACCATTGATCTGGGAACAGATGATAGGTGAGCTAGGTAAAACTCACAAAATTGACTATTCTTAATGATATTCCGACAACTTTCATGAATAACCCCTCTTCCTCCAGGTTGCTGAAAGTCTTTGATCAATCTCTAGAATTCTCAATATGTGGATTTTGATAGTTCACCAGTTTTCTCTTTGCTTTTATGGAGAAGCAAATTTTGGGGTATCCTTACCCTTGCATTTTAGTTGGTCTCTTCAATTGATTCCTTTTTTGAGTGAGATTTGGTGGTGTGTTTTACAAGGAATTTTGGAATTTCTCTTGCCAAAATTATTGGCATAACATTGTTTATCGTATTCCTTTATTAGCTGTGCAACCCATAGTGAATTTCCCCTCCCTCATTTCTGATGTTGATAAATTGCACTTTCATTTTTTTCTTCCTAATCACTGTGTTCAGATGTTTATTAATCTTCTCAAAGAACTAAATTTTGGATTAATTCAGTTTTTCATTGTTATTTGTTTTCTATTTCATTGATTTCAATTGATATCTCACAAGTTTTGATAGCTCATCTTTTCATTTTCATTTAGCAAAGAATTTTAATTTCTTTTTTGATTTCTTCTTGATGTATAGGTTATTTAGATATGT